GCGGCTGCTGCCCGTGCCCCCCTTCCCCCTTTCCCCGCTCTGAGTTTCTCACCCGAGAATAAAAGGGGGCTTGAAGGGGGATGGAGGCTGCTGGGGGACCCCCTCCCCGCCCAGGCGGCTGCCCGGCACTTTGGAAGGGGCTGCCTGGAGACGGACGGCTCCTTCTGCTGAAAGCCTTGCCTACCGTCAAAGGCGTGTGTGTGTGCGGGGGGGGGCTGTTTATTCTGGAGTAATTTACCCAGTTTTATCCGCCCGAGGCTAAAGGAGGAAGAGAGAGAAGCGACTCGGGCACCCACCCCCTAACGCACCTCCCAGCCCCCCCGCCCCGGGGTGGGTCACCCCTTGACTCCCCAGCAGCCCTGCCCACCCCGGGCCCGGCAGGGGGGACCAGGCTGGGCCCTGCCCGGCACCCCCATGTCCTGGCTTCCTCGGCAGCCGGCAGAGGAAGGCAGGGGGCGGCCAGAGGGAACACGTTGCCAAAGTGGGGTGGACTGGGTCCAAGGGTGCTGGGGACGATAAATTGCCCCCCTTGTGCTCTGGCAGAGAGAGGATCCGTGGCGATGTCCCCCTCTGAGGAGGGGTCAGCTCCATGTGACAGCCTCCAATATATTTGACTTTGTTAACGTTCCAAAGGGGTCAAAGACCCAGATGTTTGTTGCTGTGCGGCAAGCAAGATCCTGGCATCCTTTCCTCAGCCCAGGTGCAGATGTTCCCTGTCTCTTAGACCACCACGTTCGCTTTTTTCTCCCTCGACTCCCACTTGATAGCATCTCGCCATCACAGTTTTTGTTGGGAAAATTCATATTCTAAAGTTCAGCCCAACATAATAAGGCTATCTGCCATCAGATGTGACGAAAAGGGACCACATACATTTTCTTTCCCTTGTATGGATGGTTACCTCAGGCTCCTTGCAATCCTGTAGCAGGAAGACGAATTGCAGTTAATGAAACCACTCGGAGGGTAAATTATTTACCCAAATGGGTAAGAATAGCAGAATCTGGCCCGGGGATGGAGAACTGCAGAATAATTCAACAGACATATTTTAACGTGCGTCTCCTGTAAGTTGCTCTGGTGCACGTTTTGTTCGTAAATTAACTTAATGTGATAAGGGGAAAGCTTACTGTTGGGATATATGTTCTGCACCATCACGTCCCACTTACTGAAAAATATCTCCCTGTACAAGTCCTTGAAAAGAAAGATGCGCCTATTGACATGATTGAATTTTGCCTCTCGGAACAGCGAGGGGAAGAGGACAGGTGCAGCAAACTTGCTGCTCTCCGCACCTTTTGCCTGGTGGTGGGTACAGTTCTGCCCTACGTGGCAGAGCGGGGCGTGAAATACAGCCTCTAAGTAGATGGCAGACTTACGGCAGCTAAGAAAACGGAAAGATAAAAACATTGCGGAAAATGTTACAGCTTTCTAGAGACTGGTGGGGGTGGGAAAGGGGAGTGCAAAAAAAAAACCAACACAAAAGCACTGTCCTCTCCCAAGAGTCTCCGAGGCAGAATTGTTGTCGCTAGCCACATCTTCTGTCGTTACTGTGTTTTGCTCGCTCTCTCCACCATCTCTTCTCTTCACCTGCGGAGGCTGTCTATAGGGCCATCCTTTTCCTAGTTGCTTTCCCCCCCTCCCTCCCTCCCCCCAGATCCTTTTCCCTAGAGGAAGCTTCCTTAGGAGGCCCTGGGGATACAGTCTTGTTTCTTGGGAATGCAGCGAGCAGGAAAGCCTGACCAGGCAACTGGGAACTGCAAACTTTTAATCCTATTTCTCAATCTGTGACAAAATAATTTCAGAAGCTCTCTCTGGCCAGTTTTGGGTGCTTGTCTGGGAATTCCTAGGAGAATAAAGTGGCGAAGGGCAGGAGAGACAGCTGCTCAGCCCTGCCTCTGCAGGGAGCACCGGTTTTTTTTTGGCCGCCCCCCCCCCCCCCCTCCTGCCGCTGCCTAAGAGGAGAAACTGCAGCTCAGCTCTGCCCCAGCAGCAACCGAGGTGGAGGGAGATGTGTTCCACAGGGAAGAGGGATGCAGGTGGCAGGCGAAACTCAGGCGTCAGAATATCTCCCTACAGCTTGGTCTTAAGCTGTCTGGGTAATAGTTTAGGTACTACCAGAACTATATATATTTTACACTTTATTCCTTAAAGTGTGGCTCTTGACTTCTTGAGGGGAAATGGCCTCAAGTTGCACCAGGGGAGGTTTAGGTTGGACATTAGGAAAAATTTTTTTACCGCAAGGGTTGTCAAGCATTGGAATGGGCTGCCCAGGGAAGTGGTCGAGTCCCCATCCCTGGAGGTATTTAAAGGACGGGCAGATGAGGTGCTTAGGGACATGGTTTAGTGGTGGGATGGCAGAGTTAGGTTAATGGTCGGACTTGATGATCTTAAAGGTCTTTTCCAACCTAAACCATTCTATGATTCTCTGTGTTGTCAGCATTCCCCAAAGGGTGTTGTGTATTATTATTTCATGTCCGTGAAATTCTGTATACAAATCATCTATGTTTTAATGATAGTTCTGAAAACAAATCTTAATTACTCCAAACTTTGAGCTAGGAACAAAGTACAGAGACTTCAGGCCTGGTTAGGTGTCATAGCTGAGCTGCACTAATTGCTACTGAAAGAAACAAGCACGTTCCCTCCTCCTCCTCCTCCTTCGTCATCACCTCCCTGTTTTCCTTTTGGTCTTCCCTGCCCAGCCCAGTCCCTTCCCCCAGTGAAAGGTTTGTCTTGGCTGCCTAGTGAATTTTCTCAACTGGCTAACAGGGTGGAAAACTGGAAAGCTGTTCTTTGCCGGGGTTATTGTCAGACAGGTTGGGCAGTCCTGAGGATGCCGCCCGGCAGGCCGGTAGAGCCGTCGCGGGGAGGCGTGTTGCAGGGCTGGGCGCTCCGGGATGCTGGAGGCAGAACTCGTCTCGCTGGCTCAGCCGGATCACGCACCTGCACCTCAAGGATGCGAGGTGATACTTGGATACGGTGATCTAAATGGGAAGGGTTGCCAAAAGGAACACTCCTGTCCCCATTTTCACCCCAGCCGTAATCTTCCCCACCTTGGCAGTGGGGTCAGGGTGCCCAGCCCAGCAGGCAGCACCTGCCTGTTTCCAATTGCGCTTTTTGTTTCCTCTCAGGGTACCAGATGAAACTCCCTGGATCCTTCTTTTTGGTTTGGGAACAGCTGCTAACGTGTAGCAAGTGCAATTCTACCTTTCACATACAGGTGTCTGCTGCTTTGAGGTTACGGAATATGAAGAAATTGGCTAAGAAAACATCAGTATTTTTAATATAGTTTTAATAAAGTTTTAAATAGTTTTAATAAAAAATAAAAGTACAAGGTGAAAGGAAACCGATGAAGCAAATGCAAGTTGCCCGACACTCACACTAGACTGTTTACCAGTTTCATTTTATGGTAAATCCCACAGGAGGCATTTGCAGGGAATAACTCCCTGTCTTCCCAGGAGATTTCGATACAGCATTCAGACAGGGGAAAGGCGTTGCGTCTAGTTATTCAGTCTCTGAACTGTCTAATATCCTTTAGTGGGAGTGAAAAGTTGGACAATTCTGGTAAATACATGTGTGTGTGTACATGTACCTTCATCTAGGTACCTGTATACATAAACACATAGACATGGACATCTTCAGAACGGATCAAGAATTGACCCAGAAGGCTGGGATTCAGTAAAAGATAAAAGCCTGGGTGCTTTAGGATGAGGGGGTTGAGCCTGTAATAACAATCTGTCGCTAGCTGCAAAATTCAAGGCTAGTTTTAGGTTTCCCTAAACTTTAAGGTTCTTCAGACCAACAGAGTTAATTCTAGTCCATCCTCTGTAAAATACGTATCTAAGTGTCTCTCTGTCCCAGAGCAATCTTCCCTTGGAAAAAAAACCCTCTGCATCAGAGAAACTTTGTTTCCTGTATATATTAAAATGTGACTATTTCCCGTTGCATTCCTGTATTCCTAAAGGAAGCTATATTCCTATTCTCATTTTAACTGAGAATTAAGCTTGATGGAAATCAATTAGTGGAAGTTGAATTAAAGCAAGCGACATCAAGGGCAGTAAAAATAATCCTGGACTAACTGTATTAGTTCCTACCCAATTAAATTGCTGAAACGTTTGAATTCCTGCTTAGAGCACGGTGACAGCATCAAGCTGGTCTCCTTTTCGTCGCTGTGTTGGGCACATCGCAAAATTGCACATCGCCGGTGACACTTCAGAGCTGGAATAATCCCAGGCTTCAGCAGCCAGGAGTGAGATGCCTTGGCACGGGCAGGTGGAGGAGCCTGGCACAGTGTCTTCCCTGCGCCATCCACCTACGTGTGGGCTCAGCAGCTCCTCGAGCCAGGACCTTGAGGAGTCCTCAGCCTGAGGAGCTTGCTGAGCCCGCACGTTGCCCATCGCCTTCAGGCACAAACTGTGTTGTGCAGGCTCAAGCTGTGTGAGGCTGCCGGTCCTTATTTTCCTAATTACTTAATTCCTTATGAGATATTAGAAGAAAAAAAAATAAATCAGTCACAGAGAACTACCTTGGCACTCAAGTTAATGAAATGTAAAACCGGTTCATTAGGAATTACTGTTCTGTTTGATTGATTTCATCGCCTACTGTCATTAGCACTAGGTTGTCTATGGAAATAGGGTATGTTTCTGTTAATCTTTCACAGGGCGCAAACAGATCTCCTATTCTCCTGCTAGAAGCTCAGGAAACTTTCAAGTGCTGCTCAAATCTACCTTGAAAATATATTTTAACATATAAATATTTCTTTCTGATTTCCCAAAAAACTGAAAAACATCACAAGGTTTGACATACGTTTGAACACGTCCTTTAGGCGGTGAAATTCCCCTGCAGAGTACTGAGTCTACCAGAGGAATCCAAATGTATTTTCTCATTTATGCCATTAATCAAAAAGAATATGTTGCAAACCACTCACAGAAGTTTTACTGCATCAGCGTGCAGCGAGTTTATTGGGTCACGTTGCAAAGCAGCAGCAGAAAAATGGCACGATATAAAGCACAGAGTACAGCTTTGTGGACAAGAGAAAAGCCTGGAGTAATTCACTGATTTAAACAAGGGAAAGTGTTTAGGCAGAAAAAGCTTTCCCGTGTATATAGAGAAAAAAGAATTTGTAATATATTTTGTCCTGTTTGCTTTTTACTTTCAGCAGGTATTTCATAGGCATGGTTGCCCATGAAAGACAAAGATATTTATTTCTTCTTCCCCTTTACCATTCTCTAGATTCCACATGGCAAATTTTAGTTGTCCTGCTCTTCTCATATATCCCCTTCCAATTAATCTCTTTATTAACCTCGTGCCAACTTTTCCCTCTCAATTTGGAAACAGTGTCATCTGGAGAAGCCAGTGAGATACCTTGGCAATGACTGCAGCAGACTGCGGTTTACTTGTAATTCTGCAGATTAGATGGAACCACCAAGATGTAAAAATACTCTGGAACTTTTTTTCACATATCAAAAATGATGCCTGACACAGCATCGCCTATTGCTTCTCTGCTATGTTCTTTGCCTATTCGTGCTACCAGTCACCAGCTGGAAAAAATAGCTTAATTAGCTGGAAGATGAAGCTTAATCAGTTTGTAAGTGGAACTATAACTGGAATTGTCTTTGCCTGGGATTGGAATCAGTGACTTCAGGACAATTTTTCTAGCCTAAGAGGATGCTGTCCAAATGGAATCTGCTGCTACTGTGTGGCATGGTGTATGCCTGCCCACAGCGTGTGAAAGGGAGAACAAAGAAGGGAAAATGCTGCACTTCTTTTCCAGTCTTCCTATATGCAGTTTCTATCCTGCGCACCAAGTTCAGGCCAAGTGATCTCATTATACCAATACTGAATCTGGCTCTTTGTAGCCTCCCTTTATGAAAGTCTGAAGCAATTCCAAGAAATATTTTGAAATTGCACTAAGATTATTTAGAAAGAAAAAAGACACTACCTAATAAGCTAATTCCCTGTGGCCTCTCACGTTGCGCTGTTATTTACCTGAGTGATCTGAAGTCATTTAAACAGGCAGATTATTTCATGCTTATGGCTTTTACAAGGCTGTGATCATTTAGGCGCTGTTATTTACCTGAGTGATCTGAAGTCATTGAAACAGGCAGATTATTTCATGCAATATACTTATGGCTTTTACAAGGCTGTGATCATTTACACATGTGGTAGCTCAGAAGAGTAAGAGAGTTAAGCGTGACCTTTTCTAGTCCGATGACTAGATTATACATTCCAGCATATTGATTAAGAAGACATTTCTATGGCTGATACTGTCAGAAAAGATACCACGTTGTCACATAGATGAAAATCGGTCCAGCTTTATGGCTGCAGACTCCCTGGAATTAGGAATTTGCACCAGGATGATTTTAAATTTGTTTCACTGGCAGACTGATCCAGGGTAGCCAAGGCCCACCCACCTGCACCTTGTTATGCCATAGCATTTAAAACGCAGCCTTGGCTGTTTCCAGAGGTCTGCACACTCTCCGTTACTAGAAAATAAATGGAAAGCAAATAACTGATTCTTGGAGACGGAAAAAAGCATCTCCATTGTAGGCACAAGTGACCACCAAGTGGATACATTCGATATTGCACATGAAAGGTTTTGTAAACTGTATATAGACCTTCCAGAGAGAATCTGTGCTGCTTTTCTCCATTCACATAGGTAATTCTGAATTGATAGCATTTTTCTGATTGTTTAGCTTTGTTCTTTTGGCTCCAGGGCTGTGTACTATAGCACTATATGTTTAAAAATAAAATTAAATCTAGCCACCACATATGACAGACCATAGCTCATTTACAAGTGGGTATGTACATTTCCTGATTTCTATTCAAAAAATCCAAATCTGGAATAGAAAAAAAAAAGAGGATTTAGCAAGATCACGTGTGACTTTTAGCATCAGTTCTGTAAAACTTAAGTACTTTCAGTTACTTCCTTGAAGCTGTTCTTTTCATTTTCTTTGCAAATGATGAATGGCTGGGCCTGGAGAAAACTGCAAAACAACCCATTAGCGAAATTCAATTTGCTATCAGTCTTTGGAAATAATTAGCTTCTCTTTAGGTAACGTGTTGTTAGTTTGCGCACATCCAATGTTGTATGGCGTTTCTTTAGGGAAGAGTAGAAAATGTAGTTGCTGCACTGCTTACAACATACAGCTCATAATTATACAAAGGTCAAGCATCCATTAGTGCGGGTGACTCCCCTGTGTTACTCCTGGGCAAGAAATCTGCGTGTGCGATCCTGTCGAGCTGCCTGAGCAGCAGCAGTGCCACTGCTGCGTGACGTTCCTCCTGGTACATAGAAGCATCCTCCAGGAACCTGAGTAGTTCTGGTGGCCAGGCCTGTTTCTGAGGGGGTCATTGCTACACAGGCATCAATAGCCAATATAAAAAACAAGGAGCGCCACGGCGCTGCCTCCTGCTTCGAGCGGAGTTTTCTGTGACTGGAAAGCCTCAGAAGTGGATTTCCGTAGCTTCTTCCGCAGGCATAACCTTTGTACCCTGCTTGAAACGCAACACCTCACACAAAAAGAACAGACAGAGAAGAGAATTTGCTTCTCGTCAAAGCCAAGCTGGTGCGTATGGTTTACCCGGTAGATGGGTCTTTCAGGAGATGTAACATTCCTCTTCATCGCTTCCTACGCTATTTTAAAATCTGGCATTGAGTCAGCTCTTCCTACCAGGCCACATTGTTTTTTGCGGGCTGTCTTTTGATGAGAAACTAAATTGACTGAGAAACACTTTGTAAGGCAATAACGTATCTTTTGAATGAACTTAATTGGTTATGGGCCGGAGCCGATGGCCATTGCAGTTAGCAGGAGTCACCCCATGGTTTTTAGCTGGCTTCGACAGTATAAGCATCTTTCAGCTTCAAGGATGTGTGATTACAACAATCCACACTTAAGTTAGCTACCCAGTTGTCCCTCTCTGCACTTGTACAACGGATAATCAAAATTTTGCCTTTTTTCTTAAAAGCAGAACTTCACAGAAGCTTGAAAAATGCCTTTGTGTAATGAAGCTTTTGCTCCAGAACTTCTTATGATAAAATTGGCATTACTGTTCTTAGGTTTTTTTCCTGATGTGACGTGTCATCATCCTTTTTCTGTCTTCTGTTTTCTGTCATTCTTCTTTGGTATGATCCCATTATCACCCCCACTTACATTTTTTCAGTTCTCCTTATTCTCCAATGATTTACCCCTCCTATCCTTCTTAGCCCTTAGTTATCTACCACCACCAGCATCTATCAGTCACCTTCTGCTCAGAGGACTTTGTGTGTTGTAGAAAGTCCTTCTTCTTCATCCTTAGCAAGTGGCATCTTCAGACAAGAGGAGGCCTAATTCTGACCCAATATCAGCGGACTTACTTTTGATTTGCACTAAGGTACACAAAAGGAGGAACATGCAGAGATGCCATTGCTAGAGAATATTCAACATTCCTTGCTTTTGTGACTCCCTGTTCCCTGAATATAACTAAATCGTGCTTTCAGCCCATGCTGCAGAGATGCACATGCGTATGTTCTTATCAAACAAACTCATAGCAAGTCTCCCAAAATTAAAAACAGGGATTGCGTTACTCTGGATGTGATCCTCAGTCTGGGAAGAGGGGAGATCCACCAAAGGATGGGGAAAGGAACCATGGTGAAACCACAACAGATGCTGAAGAGCAGCCCTGCAGACCTGCAACCCTGGAGGAAAATTCCAGCTGGGGAAGCACTTAAGCTCCATTTCCTCAAGGAGACCATGCAGCGCTGGCCAAGCCTTTTTAATATTTCTCTTTCACTTTGGCAAATCAACAACTCATAAAAGACAGAAATAAAGTCTCCCAACACTCCAAAATTTATTCAAGGAGAAATTGAAAATTACGTCTACTCGCGCACACGGCATGTTCCATGCGCTTTCAGCGTGGATAAACTGGGCATGGTGTTGGGATGAAAAGCTCGGATGAAATACAGGGTAGTTGAGATTAAGTTGCAAAAGGGTAAAGGTTTTGGCATTTGGGCTCTGTGGTTGTTCCAAAGAAAAGTGCTGGACTGAAACAGTCTCCGAGGGCTGTGGTTCTCATTTGCGGTCAGGCCGCATCTAGCCAGACTATTGACCCTTTGCTTGCCTGTCTGTTGCACTTGCTTGCTACGTGACACACATCCCACCTCTCCCATTTGAGCCGTTGCCTTGTTATAGTAATGCGGAGTGTCAGGGCAAGCAGGCAGAAGCACAGAGTGCTTTAGTGACTATTCGGCAGAGGAACAGACATTGAACAAAGGGACATAGGTGCATTTTTTTGCTCCTTTTAGAGCATTGGCACGGCTGGCCTAACACTTCAGAAAACAAGGAATCAACTGGAATGCCCATTCGATGACTTTCCAAGATATACTGGCTCCGCAGTTTGCGAGCCAGTCCTCCAAGGC